GTTTGATTTTTTCATCTTTTAAAAGACAAACATGACATAGGAAAGTCAGCTGTTTTTGTTTTAGAATTCATGGATCAGTCTGATCTATTCTTACTAATAATAGAACATGTAAATATATTGAAAACTGTTTTGAGGAGATAGTGAGGGTTGAAGGGAAGGAAAATTGGTTCTACTTGTGTTCTGAAATCCTCATTGAAGAAGGTGTTACATTTTCCAGGTAATAACCGAAGGCATGGGAAATATTTTTAGCCGGTTGAGATGTGTAGCAGGTTGAACAGAAAAGATAAAGAAGGGGCATAATGATTACCAGTTTTCCAGACTGGGTTTTTATATCACAACTGTTAATGTTCTCAGAGTTGATGAAGGACCACCTTTATGTATAAAATTGTCACTTTAAACCTTGCAGTGGTAACAAAACAACCTACTATTATCCAGGTAGACTTCAAGATGGCTGTATGTTTGTATGATAAAATTATGGTTCACGTGACTATGTGGCATCTAAAAATAACATGTTTCTTACAGCATCTCTCTGCCACTAAATTGTTGACTTGAATTTTGAAAAAAAGTTGGTGTTGATATGTATATGTGTGTGTGTATATATGTATTTATAGACAAGTGTGTGCGAGTGACAAATACAGTCTTCCCCAACGCATGTGTATTCCACACATACATGGCTGAGGTAGTCACTACACAATTTGCAATAAAAAAAGATTTATTGTTGGTTAAAACAGGAAATAGTTCAGTTTTAAAATAAATCTGGTGTTATGGTGAGTAAATACTTTAAGAACTCTCATTGCCATATTAACTTAGGCTTATATCTAATAGTATAATTTGCGTCTAAATTCTGATTGGGATAGAAATTACTTAAAATATGGGGAATTGCTTTTTATTTCACATTGCAGTAGGAAACAGTTTTATTAACTACCTAAGATGAAATGAATAGTTTTCTTTATTTCTGTTTTTGTTGTTTTGTTTTTTCTGTTGGTGTTAGTGGTCTCAAAATTCTGATCAATAACTTTGTGTGTGATGCTGAATTACAAACTCTTTGAATGATCGAGTTGAAAACCCGTCCCTCGACTTTCTTCAGCCCATTTTGGAGAGGGTTAATTTTTCCTTAGTGTCCTGCGTTTTACCAACCCACGGGAAGAATGGGTGATAGGGAAAAGTAAATGTCTGTCTAGGTCATGGCTTTGGTCATGTGTCCACAGGAGAAACTCACCATTCATTTGTATCTTTATTTAATCATTCTATTCTAAAGAATTTATTTCCTTCATTTGTTGACTTTTCAAAATGTTGGCATTAGTAGTAGCTAGTACTCTGTTGGTCTCATGACCAATAATTATTAGACTTTCATGATCTGTAGTAATTATCTTTTAAGTTTTTTTAAAGCATAGTCATTTCATCTCTTTATTCCTTAGCCCACCCTCACTCCCCACCTATGACAACACTGACATGCTGTTTGTAGACAAACAGCGTTTCTCAGAATCTTTAGGTAAGTTGTCACCATCCCCTTTGCCTTGGTCTTTCATAATAGTGTGCATATGTTTGTGTTTCTTACAGTACTGTATGTGTGTGTGTCACACATATTTGGTAAAATCGCTGTTTGACTAGCAGGGTTGAAGTGGCTTTTAGTTATTTTGTGGGCATTATTGGACACATTTTTTAAAGCAATCTGACCTTTAACCATGCCACACTTAGTTGACTAATTTATTTTGAACATTAAACTTTTTCTACTATCTTAATTTAGACTATCACAATTCTTATCATTATCAACTTAGGAAAGAGTCACTTAAGCTTCTGAAAAATGTGATGATATCTTGGCAGATTTTCCTGAGTCAAAAGTCTAAAACTGAATGAAAACATATCCCAATTTTAATTTCTAATTGTTGAAGGAACATTGTTTTTAATACATATAACACTTTAAGATCTTCAGGACTTTAGAGCACATTTGAAGTTATTTTAGTAAGAATTTTGTTTTATTAATACGTGTTGAATTTTTTTTTTTTAAACCCACAAAGCTTAGATTTCAGAAAGGGAGGGAGAATAGCTGGTGGTCCCAGAGTGTGCTGCTGTTAATTGTTTAATTAACAAAGGGGAAAATGTATATAAACAGATATAAAAGTTATCATAAATTCCATTAAAAAAAAATCTGTGATTCATTGCCTTAAGACTTTCTCTCTTAGAATTTCCATACCGCATGCCAAACCAGTAAAATGGCTTTTAAAAATGTATAGTAGACCAATGTCAGTTTGTATAAAAGTACCAAGTGAAGATATTTATTACATGCATTGGAAAAAAAATTGTTTACCTATTGAATGTTACCTGTTTATGTAGAGCTCTTTAGATGTAATAAAAGAAAAGCCTTCAGTTAAATTTGTCTTCTGTAAAATACACTGCTGGGTACAAGGGGCCAAGCTCCGAGAGAAAGGCATACGCTTTGTGTTTTCAAAGCGCCTTTCATCCAGAGATTTCAAAGCATAACAAGTAATTCTTTTGCAAGATGCTTTGAGGTAAGTAATGAATGTACAGTCATCACTCCCCTTTACAGTCATCACTCCCCTTTCTTACTGAAATATGGCTAGTTTTGTAATGAACCACAGCATCTGTTTAATAATTTGCAATTTCAGAGCTAAGAGCACTGTTGCCTTTTTTTTTTTTTTTTCTGTAGACAACACTAGGTGCTAGGTAAACCAACTGGAATTTCAGGAATGAGCATAAAACCTGGCCATGGGGTCGTATAAAAGTCTCTTTTGGGACAGAGGTTAAGATCAGTCACGTCATAGAATTTTAGAATCCTAGGCACTGAATGCTCTTAATTGGGGACACCGAGACAGAAGAGAAGAGCCCCAGGTTCTAGTGACCATTCCACACCACTTGTTTTGGCAAGCTATACTTCAGATTCCTGTTAGGCACATCTGATTAATATAGGTTTCTTTAAAATCATAGTTGGGCCCCGGCCAGGCAGCTCGGTTGAAGCGTCATTCTGTGCATCAAAAGGTTGTGGGTTTGATTCCTGGTCAGGGCACATAACCTACATTGAGGGTTCCGTCCCTGGTTGGAGTGCATACGGGATTGATGTTTCTCTCTAAACAATAAAAAATCTTTGGGTGAGGGTTTAAAAAAACTATACTGGGACCATTCCATGATAAAGACAAAAAGGCTTTAAGGGAAAGTATTATATCCCAGAACTTCCTTGCCCTGTCCCTTCTAAATCATAGGAATCTACTGTCTAATGCATGGTGGTTGTGCAGCATTTGCTTCCTAATGTCTGTGTGAGTTAAGAGATGTGGGCGAGGCCCCCTGAGCCTTGCCTGGAAGTGAAATAAAGCAGTTCTCTATGGGGTGCCAACATCTAACCAGCCCTCAAGGGGATTAATGGATGAAGGTGATGAAGTTCCAGCCCCATGTTCCTCATTTGATCTGGCCAATTCTAGGGTCCTGGGAACAGTCCTACCAAGTCTTTCCATTTTTATGTTAAGGAAGGCTACCAAATCGTTCAACCTCATAGCCCACAGCCTAATTCTGCCCTGCACAGTGCAAATCTACGCTTCCCAGCTAGCTGATCACAGCTTCACCTACTTGGTGGTTGGGGCCATGTATTGCCTGCCCTCCACAAAACCCTTCTCTGCAGCTCCTAGGAATTTCTAGCGGTTATGCTGTTGAGAAAATAAGAGTCTCCTTTCTCAGGACCTCAATTTGGTCAGAAGCCACGCAGCATTATGAGTTGCACTAAGACTGACTGACTTGTTCCCTGCAGTTTAGTTTCCCTTGTACCTGGCCCTTAGATTTGTGTCTTGTGTAACCTCCTGAAAGACATACCTCCACCAGTTTGATTTTCTTTTGCTTTAGCCACTAAGCACCATTAGACAAAACCACAGCCTAGAGAGCCCAATTTTGATATAAGGATGAAAATCTCTTTCAGCTCTGCCCCTCACTCCTCAACATGCCAGTGTGACTCCAGCCCTTTTAGTGCCGACACTACCCATAGATCCACAAATTTGATGAGCACACAGGCAACAGCAGCCTGGCACCTCCTGGCGACATAGCTACTTGACCTGGAATTGCCCCTGGCAGGGCCAGTACCCCTACTACTATGCCGCAGGGCTCTTGCTATGTGGTGGCCATGGCCTGTTACATCATCCCCTTATTACTTGACATTAGTCACAGGGAAATGGTTTGTAACGTCAGATCCCTCTTCCCATTGTTTAGCTGAGGCTGCCTTGTTTTTCCATGAGTGTTTCCCACCCTATACTCTGTGTTTCTGAATGAATCTCCTGAACTATGGCACTGCGTGTTGAGATGGGAATGAGAATTTGTAAGTGGCCCTGGGGTGCTGCAAGAAAGAAATGTGGCCATAGTTGTTTGTTTTAGCTCTGCTTGTTACTGTTTCTAAGCTAGCACTGGCTTTGTCTTGGAAATGTGGAAGATGGTTCCGAAGCCAAATATAGAATACAGCCTTTAGGTTGATTGTCCTTAGTAGAAGCATTGCCATGGTAACTCAGGATTGCACAGTGCTCTACAGTTTGCAAAGATATTTTAAAGTCATTAGCTCAGACCATCCCCAACAGGCTCCATGAAGTAAGAAACAGACATTTAACTTGAGTGAAGATCCTAAGGCTTTGAGGGGTGAAGTGATTGGCCCAAAGTCAGACAGCTGGGAAATGGCAGCGTCAGTATTGGAACCCAGGCCCATGTCCAAACCATAAGTTCTTTCCATGCTATAAAGGGCTGGATTAATGGCTGTTATTAAAATTAATAAACATTCCAGCTGGTGTGGCTCAGTAGTTGAGCATTGACCCAGGCACCAAGATGTCACCGGTTCGATTCCTGGTCAGGGCACATGCCCAGGTTATGGGCCCAATCCCCAGTGGGGGGCATGCAGGAGGCGGCCAATCGATGTTCTCTCATTGATGTTTCTGTCTCTCCCTCTCTCTCTCTAAGATCAATAAAGGAAAAAGTTAATTAAATTAATAGACATTTTTTATTAAAGGAATGCTACTATCATGGCCAAAATCATTTATTTTCATCGTTAATTAATCCTCTGCTACAGTCAGGTAATGTTATCTTGCCACTGCGTTGTCTCCCTAGGGTGAAAGAAACACTTTTCTTTTTAAAAATTCATCCATCTGATTTCCAGGCCCAGGGGAGGCGCCCTTGGAGTCTCTTCATTCAGTAGTCCTGCACAGGGATGGTGATCTTGTAGATAAACTCATCATACTTCACTTTGCCATTTGGTTCGATATTTGTTTCCCTGAAAAGATCATCCACTGCAATAAATCACATTAATTTTTCAGTTCAGCTTTACTGCCACATTAAGGACATTGAGTTCTTGGCGTTGGGCTCCCCAGGGGTTTTCTCTGAGTGTCCAGTTGACTGTTCACATAGACCAGGAAATAAGCCAGCGAACAGAACAGGACAACCCACCCCCCTACCCCTTGGAGAACACTGATAACCATTCTGAGTTCATTGGGTTTTCTGCAGGGGCTGGGGAGGATTCAGTCACTGAAGCCACTTTTTGCTTTTATAAAAAAAAATTAATTGCTTTATATTTCCTGTACCTATATTTCCAGAAAACTTTGGCCTGGGTTCGACCTCCTCAGTCACCCTCACAGCTTCCCAACTGGACGGACACCCTCAGCGGCCTGCCTGCCTGCCTGCCTTCCCAGCTGGTATGCCCCACCCCAAGAGAGGACTTGGTGACAAGTGGTGTCTGCCACCATCACCTCTTTTTTAAAAAGTTTGTGTTCTGGGGGTGGGGATACTATAAGAAAAATTCAACTGTGTCTAAAGCTGAAAAGGGTACAAAACTGCCATTGTTCTCTATGACGTTGCTAAAAAAATTGCTTCATTTATTTGTTTCTTCTGGTTCTGGATTCCTTGAACAAAATACTAGCTTGTCCCAGATCTTGGCAAGAAGGGCCATTTCAGCTTACGCTTCACAGTGGCCCTCTCAGGGCCGTTCTACCTTCGGTTCTTTGAGAAATCCTGACCCTCTTGCAGAAATTGTCTCCCTGCCTCACGTCAGTCTCCTCGGCCCTAGACGTCCCGACACACAATTCTGGACATTCAGAAAGTACCCTGTGATTCTCTGCTTAACCGGCCTCCTCCAAAATGTAATTACTATGCTCTGTGCCTAAGCCGATGGCAGTGCTGAGTATTTTTAGCATGTTAAGAACACTAAGTTATCTTCAGAAGAAGCTTTGCCCACAAGCCACCTGGTTCAAACCATCCCAGTAGCCGGGTCCAACACCGGCTCCAGCGCCGAGCACTGTGCCGCCTCCTGTGCAGAGAAGGGCCGCACCTGATAGCCAGGTGCCAGCTCTGCCTGCTGGGTAGTATGTGGTTCACTCTGGGCCCAGAAAGGACCAGGGGCTGCGGTCAGCCTGTCCCAGGCCTTGGAAGGGAGGCCTCCCCGGCAGCCTTTTCCAGCTGCTCCAAGGATGCTTCTTCGTAAAATTGAAGATTTTCTTTCAATCACTCAGAGGAAAGAATTTCTACTTCTGGAATCATCTTCCCTGTCTCCCACAACCAAAGGAAGGGGACTCGGTCTCCCAGCGTGTCGGGAACACACCATCGTCTTTAAAATGTTTCTTGACTGGTTAAACAAATGAGAAATGTGTGTGAGCCTGGGGCCGTGGTATTAGACGGATCCTGAGCCATGAGAACCAAGGCCCCAGCTGGCCCTGTGCTAGCGCTGCACCTGGTCCTCGGAAGGCCGAGCAGTGTCCGCGGAGCCCGAGACGGACGGGAGCCCGTGCTGCCCGTTCACGGGGACCAGCCACCGAGCGGGGGCTGCCGAGCGGGGAGGGCGGAACCTGCCTCTGTGGCGATATTTGTAAGTGCTTTGCACTGTGCCTTTGTGACTGCGGAGAAAATCTAAGCAGTCGGCTTTACAGGATGTTAGTTCTTGGGGGAACCTGAGGGATCGTCCATTGTAACCTCATTTCCCAACAAGGAACCTGAGGAGAGAGGGAGAGGCTAAGAAAACCGTCCGAGGTCCTCCAGAAGGAGGGGAAGCCAGGAGTCAAGTCCAGTTCCAACCACACCCTGGCAGCCCCTGCTGGTGTGTTGTGATTTGACCAAAGGCTCCAGGCCCCCCATGATCGAAGCCCGTTTCCTCCACCCGCTGTGTCCTGGCCGAGCCCTCCCACCCCAACTGCAGGCCAGCCCCCCGCCTGCGTGGAGATGCAGCCCCGGCCTGCTGCGGGGGCTCTCGGGACTCCGAAAGGCTGCGGCTGCAGTGCCCAGGGGCTCGCTGGGCCGGTGGCAAGAATGGCAAATGGCCCGGCGTTGGGTGGCTGTCTACCTCGTGCGCGGGGCCCTCCCAGGACACCCGGCTCTGTCCCCTGCGGCAGGAAGGCGCGCCGGGCTGCCCGAAGGCGTGAGGCCGAGGCCAGCACCCAGCCAGGCTGCCCGGCGCCCTCGGGAGCGGTCAGAGCTGGGCGCGAGGGGGAACAGAGCGGCATCTGCGTGGACACCTGCATGAGCAGCAACTTCAGAAGACAGCTGTGGCGAAAGAAAAGAGCCTGAGACGGCCGGGGGTCGGCAGGGGACTAACGAGTGTCTAATAGACCTACGTGTGACTCCCAGCTCTGCTACCGCAAGATACTCTGTCCACCTGTGCCTTTGTCATATAGGGGGGCACTAGAGCTCCCAGGGGTGTCATAGCTCTAAATAGCGACCCACAGGGAAAGCTGAAACTCAGGGTGAGGCCCAGGTGGATCCCAGCTAGGTTTCACCAGCCTGTCCCTTTGCCCTGCTGGGCTTCTCCCCTGTGCCCCACAGGTCGCCCGGGCTTCAGGCCAGAGCCCACCTACCTTGCCATCTAGTGGCAGCCGCCTGGGGCACACATAAAAGGCGGTGTCTGCAGGATCCTGAAGGCAGGATTGGGCTTTGGTGTCCCCCGCCCCCACCAACTCCCTAATCCTCTCCCACTGTGAGCAAAGAGGGAGCCAGCGGCCCTTACCTTCCTTGTGGGTGAGCTTCTCCCCCAGCCTCATGAGTTTTGACCGCAGCTCGGATGCCATGATGTAGCCTTTCTTCTCCTTGTCTGCCATCAACATGGCCAAAAGGATTTCTTTCTTTGGGTCCTCTTGTTTTATTTGCATGTGCATAATGGTCAGGAAAGTGGAGAAATCCAGCTCTCCATTTCTGTCTAGGAAAGCCCCAAACACAGCACAGTGAGTGGAAGGAAAAGGCTCACGCTGGGGAAGCCAACCTGCCTCCCCCCCACGCCGGCATGGCCAGCTCAAGGGCCACCTCATTCCGAAGTGCCGTGCTGGTGGCAGGGGTCACGGTGGAGGATGCGACCCCCTTTACTGAGTTCCCACCATGGAAATACCTCATTTAATCCTCCCAACACTCCTCAGGGACGACGGTTATCATCATCCCATTTTGCCCACAAAGGAGACAGGAGCTCTGAGTGGGGAGTCACCTCCCAGAGAGTGGCAGGACCAGGACTGAGCACCGCCTCCTCTGCTCCCTTCTGGGTGCTTCTCTTGTGCCCTGAACCGGAGGGAATACTATCTGTGTCCATCCCTCCTTCATTAGCCACCACTGCACATCCACAAAGATGGACAGGGGACCCTACCTGGGGCCTCACGCCCCAGTCCCTCCTGGGCTGGTCACTTGCCTTTTCCCTCACTGCAACCACCCCCGGCTCCCCACCCATACCCCTCCTCTGAGCATGCCTGGGGGCCTCGGCTGCAGGAAACTGGAACTTCCCCCTGCCCACAACTTCCTGTTTGAAGGAGACAGAAACCAAAGGAAACCACCACCCCTTGGAGGTGGGAAGGGGATCTGTCTCTGAGCGCCCGTCCCTGGGCTCTGGGCCCTCAGAGGCCTGCCCTGCGTGGGCTCCTGGTGCTGCTGCAGTCACACTCTGATGGACTTTGGGGTAACCCCAGCGGATGGTGGGAGCCCATCTGAGAGATGAGGACACTGAGGTCCACAAGGGCTCCAGATCAGGTGCACCCCTTTCTCTGGGCCAGTCTTTCCTGCCTGAGTGTCCAACTACCAATGCAAACAGCACCCCAGCCTCTGACATCCCTCTTGTTTTCTTTTTAAAAAACCAACTTGTTTCTGGATATAAAAGCCCTATATGTTCCCCTTGTCAAAAATATAGTCCGGCTGATGTGACTCAGTGGTTGAGTGTCGACCCATGCACCAAGAGGTCAGGGCACATGCCCAGGTTGTGGGCCCAATCCCCAGTGGGGGGTGTGCAGGAGGCAGCCAATCAGTGTTCTCTCTCATTGATGTTTCTATCTCTCTCCCTTTCACTTCCTCTCTCTCTGAAATCAATAAAGAAAAAAAATTTTTAAGTATACATTAAAAAAAAAAATACAGGAAATAACAATGAAGAAAATGAAAATCATCCATAATCCCATCACCAGAGAGAACCACTTGGCAATGTCTTGGCTGGGTTTTCTTCCACCTGTTTTTCTCCCAGTATTGCAGTTTTTAGAAAGTCAGTCTTTGAAATCAGAAGAACTGGGTTCTGACTCTGATTCCACCAATGGCTCTGAACCTTGATCTGTACCTGTCACTCGGTGCCTTCTCTACAGGGCTGTTTGAGCAAAGCACATGACAGGTCCTCAATAAAGGGAAATGGTTCTGCTGAAGCAGTTCTGGGATCACTGTCAGTACTCTTTTTTTTTTTTTTTTTTTTGGTACATGTCCCTAGCGGGAAACAAACTCGGGACTCTCTGGTCCGTAGGCAGATGCTCCAACCACTGAGCCAAACCGGCCAGGGTAAGGAATTCATCACCAACAAACCAGTATTTTTTTTTAATCCTCACCAAGGACATTTTTCCATTTTTTGTTCAGACAGAGTGGGAGGGGGAGAGAGAGAGAGAAACATCGACGTGAAAGGGACACATCGAGTGGCTGCCACCCGCACGACCAACCAGGGCCGGGGACAAACTGCAACCGAGGTACGTGCCCTTAGCGGGAACCAAACCTGGGACTCTCTGAGCGCTGTGTTTTTTTTATCCTCACCCGAGGATATTTTTCCATTTTTTGTACAGATAGAGTGGGAGGGAGAGAGTGAGAAACATCGACATGAAGGGACACATCGAGTGGCTGCCACCCGCACGACCAACCAGGGCCGGGGACAAACTGCAACCGAAGCACGTGCCCTTAGCGGGAACCGAACCCAGGTCTCTCCGGACCACAGGCCGACGCTCTAACCGCTGAGCCAAACCGGCCAGGGCTCTGAGCGCTGTCTTGACTGCAGAGCTGTGATAACCTTGTGGAAAAGCTCAGGCCCCACAGCCCTCTGTGAGATGAGGGTGTCGCCAGTCGCAGAGAGGGTGCAGGAAGCCTGAGTGATGTCTCCACAGCTCCCAGCTGGTGAACTCTGACTCCCCAGCCCCTCCAACCTCTGACCTGTTCACCTCCACCATCTGCACCCCCTGCTGGGCCCCTCCCCAGGACCACAGCTGCCGTGCTCAGGGCCCATCCACCAGCCCACTCCCCGCCCCCACCCCTGGCCCAGCCCACTCACCTATCCTATGAGTCTGCAGGTGCCGTCGAACCTCCCCTGGCGTGGGACTGGCCCCCAGGCACCTCATCACCACGATGAGGTCAGTGGCTTTTATCTTCCCCCGCTGCTGCTTGTCGTAGAGGGAGAAGCATTCCTTGTACTCTGTGCACAGCCCAGGAGGGAGAATTGGGAGCATCTGTTCACCTTCCACCCCCAGGCCCTCTCTGTCCTCTCCCTGTTCTCTCCCCTCACCCTGCTGGTGCCCCCTCCCTCTGTCCCGATCCCATCACTAATCAAAGTACCGCCAAGTTCCACTGAACTTCCACTAAACAATGAACACATTTTTAGTATGAGCATGTCCCTAATGTTTGCATGGGATACACTTAGACTAAAAAGTATTTGTTGCTTATCTGTCATTCAAATGTAACTGAGAGTCCTGTGTTTTATCTAGCCACCCACTCCCCTTCCTCTCCTTTGCTGTCTCCTGTCCTGCCCTCTTTCTCCCCCCTTCCTTCCCCTTCCTCTGCTCCCCCTTCCTCTGCTCCCCCTTCCTCTGCTCCCCCTTCCTCTGCTCCCCCTTCCTTCCTCTTCCTCTGCTCCCCCTTCCTTCCCCTTCCTCTGCTCCCCCTTCCTCTGCTCCCTCTTCCTTCCCCTTCCTCTGCTCCCCCTTCCTCTGCTCCCCCTTCCTTCCCCTTCCTCTGCTCCCCCTTCCTCTGCTCCCCCTTCCTTCCCCTTCCTCTGCTCCCCCTTCCTCCCGCCCACACTGACTCAAGCCACAGGGAAGCTCTTCCGCCCTCTAGGGCCAGTCCAGGGAGCCCAGGAGCCCACAGCAGGGCATCCAGACACCCAGGGGACCTTTGCAAAGATAACGCACGTGAGAAAGGGGGTAACGATGCCTCTTGGTTCCTGAGAGGACCAGAAACCCACCCTGGGAAGTCTAGGCAGACAGTGGCTCTCATATGTGGTGACAATTATTATTACAACTACGTGCATTTCCAAGTCCACTGCTCCAGACCCTCCCTCCAGCTCAAGCTGCCCTCGGACACGGGTCCTGGTGCTGGTCCTGGTGCCGGGTCCTGGTGCAGGTCCTGGTGCCGTTCCTAAAGGCTTCCCGGGGTGCCGCCAGGATGCTTCCTCCCCAGGCTCTGACCAGACCGGCCTGCAGCTCTCGGCCAACCTTCTCCCCCGGGAGCTAAGGCTTCCAGAGCCGCACCTCACAGCCCAGCGGAGCAGGCCCGCCGGCCTGTCCCCCAGCCCTGCAGGGACCGTGAGGCCGCTGGCAGCTGGGGAAGGCCCCGGGCTCTCCCACAGAGATTCTAATTCAAGAACTGGGGGTGCCATCGGAATTGGTCAAAAGCTCCCCTGGTGGAGACTCCGCTGGGGCGTGGGGGCAGGGACTGTGATGTGACCAGTGGGGTCGCGTGGCAGAGATGCCGCTCCTCCCATGAATGTGCTGTGACCCAATCTGATGTGTGATCCGCTATCAAACTATTTCCTACCCTCGTACAAATTGTATTTATTAAACTCAAACCTCTTTCAAATCTTTCGCACTACTGATTGCAATACGGCCATCTTAATGTTTTTGTACAAATGCAGAGGTTGGAACATGGTTTGATCTTACACTACTTAATAATGGCTGATTTTAACAACCAGCTGGAAAAATGTCTAAAACTGTTCCACCGGCTCATGCTAGCCGGAGCAGCTGGCCCCTGGGGGACGCCGGCCTGCGCCAGGCCCAGTGTCCTCTCTGTCCGTTGCTCACAGCAGCCTGCTGAGGTGGTGTCATTCTCCCCACTGCACAGATGAGAAAACTGAGGCTCAGAGGTGATAGGACCCTGGGCCTGCTACCTCCAAGGCTCCTGTTCTTCCCCTCCAGCAGGCCACCCCTGTCCAGTCTGATTCATTCATTAAACACTAGTGGCCACTTTCGTGGTATCAGATGCTGGGATACAAAAGGAAGTTTGCCTTCTTTCCTCTGGGAGCTCCAGAGGCCCCAGGGGGAGGGCCAGTGAGCCTCAGGACCAGATGTGGGTGGGGGGACACTGAGGCTTTTGCCTTGAGATCTGGGCATAAAAGGCCCTGCCCTGGGCCTTGAGTTTTATAACTCCTTGCTCTGGCCCCCCTCTTGGGGTGAGACTCTCAAGGGGTCTATGGGGAGGTGCCCACCTGGAGCCTGCAACCCGCTCACCCACTCCTCCTTCTAGAGCACGCTCTGGGGACTCAGAACTCGGAATCCCTGCCTGGGTACACCTGAGCCCACCCAGGGGCTGCAGGCCCCACCTGAGCTATGCTGGGTGGGCCTCCCCCAGTCCAAGTCTGGGCCCCCGAGCTCTGTGTGACCCAACTCTTCCCCTTGGCCTATGGAAACAGAACTGTGCAGGCTGAAGCCTGCTTGGGCCCAGCGGGTAGGGGACTCGGGGAATAAATTGCTCTGAACACCAGAACTAGGCTGATGTCAGGGCAGACGGGACCTCAGAGACCACCTAAGCTGAACTCCCACCTTACAGATGGGAAAACTGAGGCCCAGAGAGAAGGGTGCTGCGTGGGGTGCAGCCCGAACTCCTTTCTGTTTCACCAAGTACAAAGCCCCTCCTCCTGCGGGCCGGCCCTAGCCGGTTCATTGTTTCCCTCTGTCCACCCCGGCCCCCCCTCCCCCATACCCAACCATCAGGTTCTGGAGGAAAGTCACGTGAGCTCTCTGTCCTATCCCCCCCCACTGATAAATCACCCTGACAGATGTAACACCAACATTTCTACTTGTGAGCTGCCCCTCCCTCCCCAGCAGGGCCTCCCCTGCAGCCTGGCCCCTTGCCTGTGGGTGGGCCCATACCCCGCCCCCAGCACCGGTCTCTCACCAACAAAAACTGAGCAGAGCAAATTGCTTAATGAGACCCATATTTTGCTCTGAGCTGCTAATTAAAGAGCAAACCCAACCTACCATTAATTTGGTCCTGGGAAAGAAACTTGGCCTGCAGCAGACAGAGGAAAACAGTCAGGGAGGGGCTCCACGAACGTGCCCCCCCCCCCAGCCCCATCAGCCCCACAGGTGGCAGACCCTCGCTTACCATCTTGGGGCCGCTGGCAGCACCCCTGGGCTCCCTGCTCCCAGGACTGCCTTCTTGGTTTCCTTCCTCCCTACTTCAAGTCGAAAGTCCGCCAAGCTGGGTGGAGGCCCCTGTAATAAATCCGTGGCTGCCATGGAGACCAGGCCCAGTGCCAGGGGTCGGATTCCAGCTTCCCCGCACAGCTGATGCCCAGCGAGGCCTGGCAGAGCAGCAGGTTGGGTTTTGAGAAAACAGGGCTGCAGAAGGTCCCCCTGGGGCCTCGGTCCTGCCAGGAAGCTGGTGCTCGGGAGCAAATGGGTACGCGTTCCTTCCTGGGAGCCCTCCCTGGACACCGAGGAGGGGTCAGTGACACACAAAAGTGGGGCCTGGATGGGGCTGTTCGGGGTCCTGCCCTGAGTCTGCCTAGGGGGTCTTTTCTTTCTCTCTCCTGGGCCTAAGTGGGGAGCTGACAAGGTGGTGGGTCCTTAGCAGCTGTCTTGTAGGTGGGGAGGAGACCCTACCATGAAGGCCCAGCCCAGCAATGGCCTCTGCCACCGTCCAAGCCTTGGGATGCATATGAGAAGGGACACAGGCTGCGGTGCTCTCAGGTTGAATTCACAGCCTCCTTCCCCTTGTGCCCGTTCGCTGAGCGGCCTCGGCACGTCATTGCACGATGCTTGTCCCCCCCACCCCCCCAGCCTCCTCGCAGGACTGTTGAATCAAGTGGCCAGCGCACAGCGGTTCTGTGTGTCAATTCCCTTCCCTCCTTCCAGGGACCCTGGGAATGGGGAGAGGGCCAGCTCTGGAGTCTAGGCCCCACAGTGGGCTCCCCAGGGTGCTCAGAGGGAGGCTTCTGGGGTGACTTTCCTGGCCAGGAAGCTCCTCTTCTTCCTTTCCCTTCTCTCCCCTCCGCAGCCCCCACTCCTTCCGGCAGAAGCTGCTGACTCTCCCCATTTCCTGAGTGGTTTGTGCTTCTCCCCACCCTCCACCACACACACACACACACACACACACACACACACAGGAAGTGAGAGTGGGGGGGGCCCTCCCTAGAGGTGCTGAGCCCGGCACAGCTGGGTTCTCACCTTCCAGTTCCTTGTCCACAGCTGGTGGCTGTGGGGTTCCAGCTTCAGGGTTCCACGCATTTGTCAGGACCCCAGGTGTGGCCACATAGATGGGCCCAGGGTATGAGGGGGCCCAGAGGGGCTGCAGGTGCCCAGAGGAAGGGGGACCTCTGGCTAATTTGTACAAGGCACATGGACAAGCGGGGTTTGCCTCTGGTCAATTCCACTCTCTCTTTTCCTGACCACCTCCATGTGGAAGGTTCTCTTTCCCCCAAAATTGTGTGTTGAGTCACCTCTTCACCTGTTTCTAGGACCAATTTCATTTGGAGGATTCTGACTCCTTCGTGTTGGAGCTGAGGAGAGGCTGGCCAGGGTGCAGGAGGCAAGAGAGGAGGGGACCTTCTAGCTAACAGCTTTTGGGGGGAAGAGGTGATGGAAAAGTCAGGTGGGGCCTTGGAAGGCAGGGCAACAGGCTGAGGCTGGGGGGAAGCCTGGGGGGCAGGCCAGAGCTCACACTCAGACTCACCCTCCGTTTGGGAAGGCGCTCATGGTGGGGGACAAGACCTTTCTTTGGGTTTAAGTCAGTGTGTTGGGGTTTAGGGCAGTATGCAAAGGCATCCCCACTGACACACCTTGCCCACTCCTTCCTTAGGTTTTTAGGTGTCTCCATGGGGTGTCCCAGATGATCGAAGCACCTGCTTGAGGGTGCTGGCTACATGAGGGTTGACTAGACAGAAGTTCACCCTGCTGCCCACTGCCCTGTGCTGTGTGAGCTGTGCTTCATCTCAACAGGGAAAAACAGACCCCTCCATACCACTCGGGGGCCCCCCACCAGGATTCTGGCTCAGCAGGTGGAATGGGGCGAGAATTTGCATTTTCCTTTGCCATCCTGATGTTGCCAGTTGGGACCACACTTTGAGAACCATTAGCCTAGAGTTTTCCAGGTGGTGTGAATCCAGGTGGCAACTAAGTATTTCTAGGAAAACATTTCCAGTGAACAGCCCAAAGGGAGCTCTTTCAAAAGGGCATACATCTCTAAGCCTCTAATACTTTGCCCTGATTTCTTCTGTTTTTCCCTTTATTCCTCACCCAAGGATATTTTTCTATTTATCATCAGATAGAGTGGGAGGGAAGGAGAGAGAGAAACATCGATGTGATAGAGACACATTGATGCCTCCTGCATGACCCAACCAGGGCCGGGGACAGCAAATGAGGTACGTGCCCTCGACAGGAATTGAACCCATGACTCATTGGTCTGCAGGCTGATGCTCTAAGCGCTGAGCCTAACAGGCCAGGGCATGCTGTGATGTCTTTTTCATTCTAAATATCTTGATTCTTTTTTTTTTTTTTTTTTTTATCCTCACCCGAGGATATTTTTCCATTTTTTGTACAGATAGAGTGGGAGGGAGAGAGAGGAAGGGAGAGAGAGAGAAACATCGACGTGAAGGGACACATCGAGTGGCTGCCACCCGCACGACCAACCAGGGCCGGGGACAAACTGCAACCAAAGTACGTGCCCTTAGCGGGAACCAAACCCGGGTCTCTCCGGACCGCAGGCCGACGCTTTAACCGCTGAGCCAAACTGGCCAGGGCTAAATATGTTGATTCTTGAACAACATGGGTTTGAACTGCACAGGTCCAATTATATGTGGATCTTTTCAATAAATACAGTAACTGTATTTTCTCTCCCTTTTGGTTTTTCTTTTTCTTTTCTTTCTTTCTTTTTTTTTTCCTTAATCCTCACCTGAGGATACTTTCCCATTGATTTCATTAAAGATAATTTTTCTTTATTGATTTTAGAGAGAGAGGGAGGGAGAGGGAGAGAGGTAGAGACCTTAATGAGAGAGAACATCAATTGGCCGCCTCCTGCATGCCCCCCACTGGGGATTTGGCCCACAACCTGGGCATGTGCCCTGACTAGGATCTAACTGGAGACCTCTTGGTACATGGGTCGATGCTCAAACCACTGAGCCACACCAGTTGGGTGATTTTTTATTTTATTTTATTTTATTTTTTTAGATAGAGTGGAAGGGAGGGAGGGAGGGAGGGAGAAAGAAACATTGATGTAAGAGAAACACATCAATTGGTTGCCTCCCACACGACCTGGGCCAGGAATCAAGCCTGCTACCCAGGCACGTGCCCTTGACCAAGAATCAAACCAGTGACACTTCAGTCTGAGGGCTGATGCTCTAACTGCTGAGCCAAACTGGCCAGGGTCCCTTCTGATTTTCTTAATAACATTTTCTTTTTTCTAGCTTACCGTATTGGAAGAATACAGCATATAATACATACAACACAGAAAGTATGTATTAACTGTTGTCAGTTGGGCTTCTGGTCAACAGTAGGCTATTAGTATAGTCAGCTTCCGCATCTGTGGAATTTTTTTTTTTTTATCCTCACCCGAGGACATTTTTCCATTTTTGTTCAGATAGAGTGGGAGGGAGAGAGAGAAACAGAGAGAGAGAGAGAGAGAGAGAGAGAGAGAGAGCGAGCGCCATCAACGTGAAAGGGACACATCGAGTGGCTGCCACCCGCACAACCAACCAGGGCCGGGGACAAACTGCAACCGAGGTATATGCCCTTAGCGGGAACCGAACCCGGGTCTCTCTGGACCGCAGGCCAAAGCTCTAACCGCTGAGCCAAACCGGCCAGGGCCACATCTGTGGATTTTTAATCACAGATTGAAAATACTGTTTGGGCCTGGCTGGTTTGGCTTAGCAATTAGAGCATAAGCCTGCAGACTGAGGGGTCTGGGGTTCGATTCCTGGCCCCAGCCAGGGTCGTGCAGGAGGCAACCAATCAATGCGTCTCTCTCACATCAATGTTTCTTTCTCTCTCTTCCTCCCTTCCTTCTATCTGAAAAAATAAACTGAAAAATATCCTTGGTTGAGGATTAACAACAAAATACTGTTTGGATCCATGGGTATGAAACCCAAGGATAAAAGAACCAACTGTGGTTGAGATTTGGGGGAGTCAACAGTTATATGTGGAATTTTGACTCTGCAGGGGCTCAGTATCCCTGTGTTGTTCAAGGGTCCACTATATTCACTTGCATCCCTAATTTTTATTTAATTTTTTACTGTTTATTTATTAAGGTCCCCTCAAATTGTATATGCGTCAGGCCCCACAACCAGTGCCTGATCAGAAGGTGTCTATTAAGTCCTGTGAATAAAGCCAGAGGGGTTGGGAGGGGCAGTGTCCTCGGTCGGGAAGGACTCACAGGAGGTCCTGGGCAGGTAGGAGCCTAGGGCTTCAGGTGTGGTCTCCTGCCACCACCCTCCCATGTTTTCTGATGACCTCGGCCCAGTACGCTCCCATTGCCTGCCTGGAGAGGCTGACACCTTTGAAAATCAAGAGCTGAGGCTCCTGGAGATGAAGTGAGTGGCCAAGGCTAAGTACTGACCTCCAACAAAGGCCTCCCTCCTTTTCCTAGGGGCACCCTCTTCGGTTCAGGCTCTGAACCAGGCTGGCAGCACGGCTGGGAGACCCCACGTGACATCTCTGAGGGGCGTCTGGAGATGGCCTGTCCTGCCCCTCCCAAGTCCCCCTACTCCGAAGAGGGCTGGAGCTGACCGAGGCCCTTCTGGCCCCCACCTCTCTCCAATCCAGGGATCCTACTAAGTGGCATGGAGGGCCAGTGGCCTCACCCACTCCCAGCCAGATGGGGCTGCGGGGGCCCTTGGGGTCTGCCCAGCACTCCTCCCTGGGTTCCAGACCAGCCACTCTCCCCTGCTCTAGGGACCTCCTCCCTCCCGCTTCCCAAATCCGCAAAGCAGCAGCCCAGCCAGGCTTGGCTTCACACAGCCTTTATTCACACCTCCAGGGCCTGATGCCCTGCAGGCAGGGAATGGCCAGAGGGCGGGGTCCCCCAAGGGGGCTGCAGAGGGACCCCGACATGAAAGGAGCATCTGAGGCATGGGGCTCCCTGAGAACACAGGAAAGGAGATAGGCCCCCCGAGACCCACAAGCACCCGTGGGCCAGGCTGGCTGGAAATGAGTCTGCAATGCCTGCAGCCCTGTGAGGAGACAAGTCCGCAGGGCCTGGGGTGGGTACTGCTGGGAACCACGCCTCCCTTTTCTGGGAGTAGGCCCTGGCCAAAGGCGGAGATTCAGACTGAGACAAAGCCCACTGGAGAGAGCCTCAGTACCCTCCCCCAAAGGAGTTCAGGGAACAGTGCAAGGGTTTGAGAACTGCCATCCTGCAGCCAGGCTGACACGAAGGGGTGCCGCTGTTCTCCTGGAGGGAAGGAGGGAGGCAGAGCCTCTGGGAGGTGGTTGGAGAGGACCGTTGCCAGGCCCCGAGATCAGGCTGGTGGGCAGGGCTGGGCGGGCCTGTGGACCTCGGGGTTTGGTGGCTCAACACCCCATGCAATCTGAGGTGGGGTGAGGGCCCGGGATGCACATACTCCTTTCAGGGTACAAGGACAGTGACAGGATAGAACTACTTGTCCATCCCCAGGCTGCCCCAAGAGGATACTACAACTAGCCCACCGACCCTTTGGGACCCTGGGCCTATCTAGTGCAAACGAAGCCCAGAGAAGGGATGTGCTTTGCTCAGTAATACTCAGAAAGTTCACGTAACCTATGTAATCTGGCTTCCAGGGTCAGGGTGGGTCTGAGAAGTAGATCAGGTGGTGGGTGACACACCAGCCCTCTCCTGTATGGGTCCCAGAGGTCTTCCCAGGAAGAAGGGACCCTGCAGTCAGGGGCACAGGAAGGCAGCGGCCACATCTTGGTCTGGACACGCTGCCTAAAGCTCAATCCCATCCTGGAAAGCTCCCAACCAAACAGAAACTTGACCAAAACAATCAAGTTGTGTGCACACACACACACACCTATCCGTGTGCACAATGTGTACTCTCACTCGTGTTCTCAGTCACGGTTACACATGTGGGTGGACATGCACGCATGCACGCATGTGCATGCACACGCACATGTACACATGCCCCATGCTCAGACACCCTCTATGGCCCATCTTCTGCCCGATGGAGCACCAGTGGCTGACGCCAGGGACTCAGTGTTGGCTGTTGACGTGGAGGGTGTAGAAAGCCCAGGGCTCAGGGACGTAGATGACGCCGGGGTACTTCTTCCTGAGTACAGGGTCGTTCCACAGCCAGGCGACCCAGAGCGCCACAAGCAGGAGAGTGAGGACGAAGGAGTAGAAGAGGAAGAGGCCATTGCTGTCCAGGAAGAGGCACTTGCGCTTCTGGTGCAGGACGAGGGCCAGCATGGCAAAGAAGGTGAAGATGAAGAGGATGAAGATCTGGCCCTCGGTTACCAGGTACCTGAGGAGGTCAGTGGGTGGGGTGAGGCAGGTGCTATGACAGCCCTATCCTGCCTGGCTCCCCTCCCTCCACCCAGGTCCCAGGCTGCTCCCCAGTCAGAACAGCTCATCTTATGAGGGAGCTCACGAAACCATACCACTCTGGACCACAGCGTGGGTGCAGCATATTGATCTGGCTTGCATCGTTACATTTTAAAATGTTGAGTTTTTTGCCTATATTGAAATAACAAAGTACCTGAAAAATGTGAATTTCTGGTTTCTCTGGCCACATTAGACTTGTATTCCCACACTACAATAACTGATTAGAGGGGAAAGCAGCTGCCCCCGTTGGAACACTATTCTAGTTTGCCACAGTCCACACCATTCCCTGTTGCCTCACTTGATGTCTGTCTGATGCACCAGCTTGGTTCCTGTAGGCATTTGAGTTTGAGAATGCCTATAGCTACAATTTGTGGGGATTGTCATTACTGTCTCCTTGAAGGCTGGGGCAGTCTCAGATCTCCCAGGGTTCCCTGCAGCTCTAAAGGCAGCACCTAGCACATGGCCAGGAACTCAGGGACATTTGTTGTAGGGCTTCAGAGAAGGTTATCTGGTCCAATCCCACGCCCCTAGACAGAACCCCAATGCTGACCCATTCCATTCAAGGAACTATAGGTCAGTAGCTGTGTGACCTTGGGGAATTTACATGACATATTAAAGCCTGGTTTCTTACTCATAAAAGGGGCATAAATGGCCCTGTCTCTCAAGGTTACTGACAAGAGCTGTGTACATCTCTCACTTGGAAAAGCACGTTGTGTAACAAATGGTTGCTGCTACCACTGTAGCTATCACTGCAATAACGCACTGTGGCTTCGGTTTGGGCAGGAAGCCCTTTCTTTCTTGCTGGAGTTGACACCCATTTCTTTTAATCCTGTCCTCGGGGGCATACAGATTCACCCTGCTGGACCCTCTGAGCCAGTCAGGGGACAGACCCTGGAGGTGGGCTGCAGCTGGCCCCAGGAAAGAAGGTCCTTTCCATTTTGATGAAGTCTTCCCATTAGAGTAGGGCCAGTCCTTCCTGTGACACACACAATCCCTGTCCTCAGGGTGGAAGTGACAGAGGAGGGGTAAGAGCTTGGGTCCTTGGTAACGAGGAGAGAGCTGGAGGACACAGATACCAGGTAGGGAGCTCCTGAGGCCAGGAACTTTGTCATCACCATGGTGCTTTACAGGTTACAAAGCCCTTTTCTCTCCCCCTGCTTCTCTCCATCTCCTGAGAGGACACAAGCAGGTACTGCCCCCATTTCACAGGGACGGAAACAGACCCATGGGGCTCTACAGGGCTTGGTGTTAGAGATGGAGTCTGTTGGCCCAAGGCTGCACTGGGGTTCTGGGAGGTGGGCCACAGGGTGGAGGGGCATGAGGATGGAGAGAACACACCCAGGCCTGGCTTCCTCGTGACGACAGGCCACCACATGCCACTGTCACAGTGTCTACTAAAGAGGAAGCTGGGCTCCGACAGGGAGCGTCTCACATGGGGGTCACATAGCAGCTCTGAATTCAAGAGCACATTTTTACTGCCGGGCTCAATGAGGACCCCTTCCATCCCAACCCAGGTTCAATGTCCACTCACCAGTAGTACAGGCCACTGGGCACCACCAGGAGCAGGGCTGCCCCTGGCATTGAGCTCTCAGCTTTGGTGGGAGTGAAACAGCCGCTGAAGTACATGAAGAGGATGAGGAAGAAGGGGATGTACCTGCAACAGGGAAGCCAGTGCCTCAGAGGCCTGCCTGGCCGCCCCTCACACCCACCTCCTCCGGGCCCTCTTCCCCACCAGCCCCTGTACTGGTTTCTTGCGACATCCATGGAGTGTCACTGCATGGTTTACAAAGTTCCTGGTCTGCGAAGGGCACTCAGTCCTGCCAGCCTGCCTGCGCTGGGGGGCCAGGCTGGGAGAGGAAGGAAGCAGGAGGAATCAGGGGCCCACAGGCCGTTGGGGGGGGGGGGCGGGCTGTTCCTGCCACACTGCTGGGGCCACCTCACTCACTCCATGTGTGAGGGGTGCCTCTTCCCCTCCCCCGAGGCCTCCCGAGCCTCGCACTGGCCTGGAAACGGATGCCTGTGCAGGGCTGAGCAGAGAGGCCTGAGGTCCAGATAAGTAAAAAGAACAGCACCTGCTGGGGGCCGCGAGGAGCTCTGTGAAGGCCCTTCACTCGCTCAGCCCACAGCCTCACCCTCTTCCCCTGCGCACATCTCACCGAAGGACCCCCCGAGGCTGCTTTTCCCAGGCACCCCTTTTCTCACGGTCCCTCTCCTCACCCAGCCTCCTCAGGCCCCCTCAGCAGGTACCCACACACTCCTGTGTCCTCTGGCTATTTCAGGCCTGTTCCCCTCTCCTCCTCCCTTTCCAACCTTCCACTAGAAGGGTCTTCCGGCCAAGGTCAGGGAGACCAGGACCCTGAGCCAGGAGGAGCAACATGTCCCCAAGCAGCCCCGGAGACACAGCGCAGGGCAGGGGGGAAGCCTCCCAGGTCCAGGCGGGCCCTGGCACTAACCAGCTGTCCATCCATGCTCAGCCCTCCTCCCACTGCCCCCCGTCTATCCTGTGTGAACTGTGTCTGTGTGGGGGGACGGTGGGGCCCTGACTCTTCTGTGGCTGAGCCCCCATTTGTGTGGGGTGAGGGGGTGGGGAGCTCTCCTGGGAGTTCTGAGGAAGGGGGAGCACGGATAGCATCCCCCAGCCTGGTCTAGCTGGCTCTTCTCAGCTTCTTCTCCGCCTCATCCCCAAGTCCGCGGCCTGACGTGGTAGGGGTCCTCACCCCCACATCAGCACAGCAGGGGGGCATGTTTATCAGCGCGAAGGCCTTTCTCCCCCATCTGCTTCGGGCTCCGGCCGGGGAGGGCGAGACGGCCGCCCGCTGCCCTCTAGTGGCCGCCGCGGGCACCGCCGGCCGGGAGGAGGCGGAGGGCAGCCAGGGCCCCGGTCCGCGCCGGGAGAGACGCGTTCCAGGCGCTGCGCCCGGCACCTGGAGGTCCGGGGCCCAGAGCCTTGTCCAGTGTCCCCGAGGCCGGTGGCAGGGCTGGCGGGGTGCCAGGACCCCTGAGGAGACAGACTGGCCCCATCACTCACCACATAGAGTGGCCCAGGTACTCGTCATAGTAGTAAAGCAGCTCGAAGGAGTCGATCTGCGGGCGCAGGGGGGACAGAGTTAGAGGGAGATGCTTGGGGAGGTGCGAGCCCATACAACCCTCTGGTCCCCCTCCCCTTCCCTCCTCTCCTCTCCCCTCCCCTCCCCCAGCCCCCCAGCTGTCCCGTCCCTGCCTCCAACAGGAGGGCCCAGGGGGAGTCAGTGTGCACTTCCCAGGAACACGACTGCTCCAGCTGGCCCGGCGACAGTGCCCTCGCCGGCAGGTGCCTTCGGGAGAGGTCGTGGGAGAGGTCGTGCGCAGTGACGGGCTGTGGCACCTCCCCGCCTGCAGGACAGGGTGCCCGCAGGGTTAACGCGGTGGGGAGCGGCCTCACCAGCGTCTCCGGCTTGAGATTCTTGATGATGGGGTTCTCACGGACTGACAGGTGGTGCTGGTAGCCACTGAAGAGCAGGCGGTGGTTCACGGAGTCGCCCACCAGGTGGATGCTGGCGCCCATGATGAAGGTGATGATGCTGACGTAGATCATGGAGCGCGGCAAGGTGCGGGGCGATCGCTCGATGAGCTGCGGTCAGAGCAGCAAGTTCACAAGCCCAGCAATGGGACCGGCCTCCATCACAACAGGAGACACCCTCTGCATCCCTCCCTGGCACCTGGGCTGGGCTGGACGCCACCAGCTGGAAAGTCACTCACAAATTGGCGGTTCCCTTTAGTGGGCCAGCTCAGCCTCCAGAGTCTCACGTGATCCCTGTAAACCCAGGGCCAAGGGAACAGCACCCCCTTTCCGGAATCAGAGGGGCCAGCTCCTTGCCCAAGGCCACACACAAGCCACTACTGGATGTGGCAGCCAGGCCTTCAACACAGGCACTGGGACACCAGGCTCAGCCCGCCCACCGCCCCCAGTTGTGCCCCTGGGTGGCTGGGCTGGCCTGTAGAAGGGACCCTCCAATTTCTGAGTGACTGGCCCATGGCAAACACACACAAAAATGACAGGTGGGGAGGGTGCTCCTGAAATTAAATTATTTAACTTAGGACTCCTTTGAATTCTGCAATTATACATTTCTGATTTGGGGAGATTTGAAATATTTTTCTAAAAACAAAATGATGGGGATAGTAGATGGAGATGTAGTTGTTTTAAAAGCCTTTATGTGACAAAGTGCAAAGCCGGCAGCCCTGACTAGCTCTGTGCTCCGGGTGGCATCTCAAAGCCGGGAATCTCCCGGCCAGAGGATCCAGTTCACCCTCCCTTACTGCCATTCCTGTCACCTGCCTTCCCACTGGTCCCTGCCTCTTCCCGGGCAACCCACCCACTGCTGCCGCAGCCTCCCAAACACATTATGGTTTCCCAAGCACGGCCCTGTCTTCAGGTCCTTCTGCCTGAATGCCTCTCCCACTTGGCCCTCGCACAGCAGGCTGAGGCCCACATCAAACAACTCTCCTTGAGGAGGCCTTCTCCATCCCTCCCAGCCAGAGGCAGCCCTGCCTTCCCTGGGCCCCTGGACTCGAGCTGTCCGGCCATAGCCGTCATCTCCATACTCAGACAGGGAAAAGCTGACTCAGGGCACTCCCAGGGCCGGCGCCAGCTTCCTCCCAGGGAGCCTGGGACTGTACCTTGAGCAGGAGAAAGGGTGTGATGATGTTGTAGGCCATGTGGAAGTAGTCCCCCGCGCTGGGCTTGTTGAGCGGAAACCATTCGAGGGGGAACACCAGCTGGGGAGCAAGGGAAGGAGTGTTCACCAGGCACACCCACGAGGCCCTCAGGGAGTCAGCCCACCTCCTTCACACACTCTTATTCTTTCCGAGATCTCTTGGGATCTTCCTGGCAACCTCAGGGCAAAGGTGTTTCCAGATAGAGAAACTGAGTCCCAGAGAAGGTAAATAGACTTGTCTACAGGCACACAGTAGATGCAAATCCAGGCCTGACCCTGTGCCCCTCTCCTAGTGGGTACTAAATACATGTCCCTGGGTACTGGCCTAGTAGTTGGAGGCTCCTTTGGGACTCACTGGTGCCACCAACTTTCTTGGTGACCCTGGGCAAGTCCTTCCCCTCTCTAGGATTTCTCCATCTGTGACACAAGAAATGTGGCCCAGGTGGTCTACAGGGACTCTTAGGGACCTGGCACTCCAGGTCCTGTAATGATGACAAGCTCTTCTGGCCACTTGGTCCAGTTGTGGGAAAGTGCTCTATCTACTGAGCAGAAGGCCTGCTTCTGAATCAGGTCAAGGGTCTACATTAGGAAACAAAGGAGAAAATGAGTTCTTCAAAGTAGCCTCAGTTCTTCCTTTCCTACCTTCCCTGAGAGAGGAGGCAGGCCAGGGGCAGTTCTTCTTACTGGTCTACCTCAGGGAGTTCTGGCCTTGTGGGGGTCAGTGTGAAAATCCTATTCCAGCTCAAAAGATTACACACACACACACACACACACACACTCCACACACTGCCAAACTATAATTCTAGTATAGTTTGATTAAGAAAATGTGTAATGACCAAAAATTTCAATAAAAAATTTAAGTTTTTATCTCTTTTATTTACTTATTTTTTTTTATCCTCACCTGAGGACATTTTTTTTCCATTTTTTGTTCAGATAGAGTGGGAGGGAGAGAGAGGGAGAGAGAGAAAGAAACATCGACGTGAAAGGGACACATCGAGTGGCTGCCACCTGCACGACCCAACCAGGGCCGGGAACAAACTGCAACCAAGGTACGCGTCCTTAGCGGGAACTGAACCTGGGTCTCTCCGGACTGCAGGCCAACGCTCCAACCACTGAGCCAAATCGGCCAGGGTGAGTTTTTATCTCTTAATTAAAAAATGCCACACTGGATAAAACTAATCTGCAGAAATACAGCTCCTAGGATAAAGAAATCTCAATCTCTCTCTTTCTCTTTCTTCCTCATGTGTGAATGTCTCTATATCTACAGCAAGATACATATGGTGGCTAAACTATTCTTTGTGATAGCAAAATACCAGAAATAAGCCAACTCGTCACTTAAACAGAACTAGCTGAATATACTATAGTACATATTTACTGTAGAAGGTTCAGTAGCCATTGACAGAAATGGCCTATGTGCTGACATGGAGAGACCTCTATGATAAACTAAAACAAACACATTATAGAATAAGGTATAAAGTAAAAATCTCATTTTGGTTAGGAAAAGAAAAAAGATGTGTAGGTATGTCTGTCTGAGTAGAGAAAGGAGTGAAAGGATGTGCCCCAAACTGTCAGGGATGGGACTGGAAAGGGAGAGTCTCACTTCTTTATACACCTGGGTATGAACTGACTTGTTATTACTACATGTTACTTTTATGGCTGGTAAAATGTCTTATTTGGTAGTTATTAGAATTTTGGGACTATCCTGCATACATTTGAAGAGCTCCAGTGTATACAACATGAACTTTTCAAATGCATATTCTCCCCACGAGCCCCCTTGGGAGAAATGTGGCCACAGCAACTCTGGGCAGGATGAGACTGGGTCCTTGTGAGGAGAGCCACACGCCTGCTCCTGGCCTCATCTCCCTTCCCAGAGCACCAGTCTGATGGGCAGCTCCTTTGTCCTCCAAAATATGGGACCTTCATGTTGGAAGGGAGCTCAGAGCAGCAAGTTCACAAGTCCTCTTACAGATGAGAGAACTGAAGCCCAAATGACAGTGACTTGCCCATGGTCAATCAAAGCCTGACCAAGGTGTCCTGACTCCTGGCCCAGTCCCTTTTCCTTCTCCTACATTAAAAAAACATGTCTGCAGAAAGAAGAACCAGCATCCACCATGGCTCCTCCCTGACACACTGCCAGAAAAGCTCTTCTTCATCCCCTTCGTCTTTGAGCCATGTATACGAGACTGTTGGGACTGTCACTGACTTGTACTGTCAGTGTGCATGCCACTTAGGCACCTCTTTTCTCCTTAAACATTCCAGGTTGCTCTACAGAAGCCACAGTCCCTGCTTCCTGGCCAGGTAATATCCTCTGTCCTGGACACAGCAAAGTTAACTGACCCAGTCCCTACTGCTGGACACTGAAATCACTTGTAAGTTTTGGCTATTTTAAGTAATGCTCAAATGAACATCTTTGGGTAGAGGGGCTGTTGGCTCTGGCTGATTACATCTTCAGGGCAGATTCTTGGGAGGGATCTTACTGGGTCAGAAGGGATGAACATATCAGGGTTCTGGAGATACACGTGACGGGAAGGGGGGCTCTGGGGCCAGAGTCCTGGGTACAGATGCTGGCTTCTGCACTGGCTAGTTGGGTGAGCTTGAGCCAGTTACCCTCTATCCTCAAGTCTTCTCATCCGTAAAGTTGAGATTAATAATAGTGTTTATGTGAGAACTAAGTAAGTTTAACCATGTAAAGAGCTTAGAACAGAGTAAGTACTTAATGTATGTTAGCTGCTATTTCTACCTTCCTCTTATAATCATTCATTCAATAAAAGTTTATTGAGCACGTATAGTGCTGGAAACTATTCTGGGTACTAGTTATCAGCTTGACAAACTGCTTTCCAAAGGGCTTTGATAATTCGCATCATCCCTGGCATGCACAAGATGTCCGTGTTACTGGTGGATCTTGTTATTTGACCACCCCTACAAGAAAATTAACAACTTGGTACACAGCGGTACCTCCTTCCATTTGTTCCCACATTCTGTTATCTATCTATCTGTCATGGGTGAGGAGCTTTGGTGCTCTTCCAGTATTAATCTCCTCCGTGGAGGCCGCCACTGTACACTGATGCATGAAGTAGCCTTGGAGGGAAGGGGACAGTTTCACTAGGTGACACAAAAATTATCTGAAGCTCAGAGTCATATATAATATGCAAAATCAGCCTATACTTTAAAAAAAATACATTTTTATTGATTTTTAGAGAGAGAGGAAAGGAGAGAGGGATAGAAACATTGACATGAGAGAGAAACATTGATCAGCTGCTTCCTGCATGCCCCCTACTGGGGATCGAGCCTGCAACCCAGGCATGTGCTCTGACCAGGAAACCAACTGGGACCTCTCAATTCCTGGGATGATGCTCAATCCACTGAGCCACATCAGCCGGGCTAAGCCTGTACTCTTCACCTCCAGAAAAATAATCCTATTCCAAGGCTGTGGCGCGGCCAGTGGGGATGCTGTGCTTTCTTTCCGCACTCCTCTAGCTTGGTGATCTGGAGGTGAGAGATGGGGGTGGTACAGCATGGCTGTTCAGAGCCACCGGCTCCAGAATGGAAGTTAGGCTCAACGTGACTGTTGAGGCCCACAGACCCCTTCCCCTACCTGCTGGCAGTTGCCTCACTGGCCACAGTCAAAGGACATGAAATCATCTAGGCCTATTCTTGCAGTTTACCTGTAGGGGGGACGACCTGTCTAAGGTCACTCAGCTACTTCAAGTCACACTAAGTCTCCTCACTGCTAGCTGGGGCTCTGTCCACAGCTTCACACTCACCATGGCAATGGGGCGGCCAAAGTCCAGAACCCAGTTCTGCAGGGTGAAGTAGAACCAGAGGTCGAGGTGGAAGGGAGCAGTGCCGGCAGCCTCATCAGTCTTGATGGAGCTGTGCCTGGGAAGGAACCAGACAGAGGAGAGGGGTCAGTGCGTCTCCCTTCCTCCCTCGGGAATTTCTCCTCCTCCTCTTCCCCACAGTGAGCCACAGAAAGGTCTGGGGAGTTGGGGAGCAGGAGGAAACACACATAGTTAAGTTCTAGGAAAAAGGATTTTGCAGGAAATACTGGGGTCTGGGCCTGCAGCCAAGGGGAAGGTGTCCTGGGAGTGAACTCCAACTGCCCTGACTTTAGCTTCTCTGTGATTCAGGAAGGAAGCTGCCAAACAGGTTTTTCTCACCAATAGAATGATGAGGAAATCAAATGGGGCAAAGGATGCAAAAGCAGCTGAAAAACATGAAACATGATGATGGATGATAGTAGCTAACATTTATTGAGTACTTATTATATTCCAGGAACTATTTACATATGTTATAGCTGTTTACACATGTATTATCTCATTTAACTGTTTTAATCTCCACAGAAATCCTTTGAGGTTGGAATAATATCCCCATTTTATAAGTGAAAAAACAGAGACCCAACATATTAAGTAACTTGTCCAGTTAACATTGCTAAATATGTGAACCTAAATGATTAGGCTTCAGAGCTTATATATATATATTTTTGTCCTCACCCGAGGACATTTTTTCATTTTTTGTTCAGATAGAGTGGGAGGGAAAGAGAGAGAAACATCGGCATGAAAGGGACACATCGAGTGGTTGCCACCCGCACGACCCAACCAGGGCTGGGGACAAACTGCAACCGAGGTACATGCCCTTGGCGGGAACTGAACCTAGGTCTCTCTGGACTGCAGGCCAACGCTCCAACCACTGAACCAAATCGGCCAGGGCTGTTTTTTTTTTATAATGTTCACATTCTTGATGTGTCCTCATAAGGTAGAGAGAGAGAAAGAGAGATGGAGAGGAGGAGGGAAAGGAAGAGAGAGCCAGAACTTCTCTAGCCTATCATTGTGTCTATTGTGATTGGTCTGTGGGAGGGGCATGTGACTTGAGCTGGACCAATCAGAGTCCTCTAGTGAAATTTGCCTTATAGACTGTAGACTGGTTCCTGAACCACAAGAAAGTATGAATGGGGCTGCTGGTATCCCTCTTCTCACCAATCCACAGTGAAACCTACGAAGGATGCCAGCAGGCACAAGTTGATGTGAGCACCATGGCAAGAACTGGAGCACTATCTGACAGTACAGCTTTGGATGTCTGTCCCTCCTGCAAAACAGCCTTCTGCTCTTCACAGTTGAGCTGAAGTTCAAGGGCCAATGTATGTGCCACCTTCTCCAGAAAGGCTTCCCTGATGAAGCTTTCCCCGAAACTCTACCCATCCCACTACAGGGAGTGCTTCATCTCTAATTTGCAGCCTGGCTATGACATCACAGGGCTGGAGTTTTCCTTTCTTACCTAGACCCACAAAAAGAGGAGTGATTTTTAAGTGTCTCTCAATTCACTGACATCCCCCATCAGAGTCCGTATCCTCCTCACAGTATCCTGCCACTACCTGCACACCTCCAGTGACAAGCAGCCCACTACTTCCTCAGATGATTGAGGCGTTTTATGGTCCCATTTGTGCCAAGAACAGAAACGGTGTGACACGGATTTGTATTCTCCAGAGTTCTCAGCTCAGTGCCTGGTTTAGGCTCAGTGGTTACTGGCTGACTTGAAACAATGTTACCAGTTACTCGTTCTTTTTAGTGGCAAACATTACCTTAAAGGCACCACAGAGGTTTCCTCTGTTAAGGCTAATATTGGTACCATGACATTCCAGGATACTTTTGAGCTGATTCCAAGAATGGGCCACACTGGGCTGGTAGAGCAACTGCGGAGCTGGGAAGGCAAGCTCCTGCAGGATCTCATTTTCCTCTGGTCGCAGGCGAGACCATAGAGTGGGCCTCTCCCAGGTTACCTAAGCCTTCCAGTGCCCACCATGCAGTGCCCCCCACCACTGCTCGAGTCAGATGGGTGCTATGCCAGAGCTTCACCTGCACTGTCTCATCTCATCCTCACTGCAATCCCAGGAAGCAGGGTAGTCACCCTCCTGGTTTACAGAGGAGGCGACTGAGGCTTACAGGCGTTAAGTGCTTAGCCAAGGTGACCCCTACTGTAGAAAGGAGCTGCAGTGACTGTTCCTTTGGTCAGCCTATTCCCCACATCCTGCTTCTTCTGTAAGAGATGATGTTTCCTCAGCCACAGGGAGAGCCAGTAACCCAGGCCGGACCAAGTGGGACTTTTCTAACTCGAGTTCATGGACAGTGCTGCTCCTGTCTGGTGCTGGGGCCCTAAGATGCAAACCTAGGGCTGCCTGTGGCCAAGTTGGCGCTTCAAGGGACAGCCCGGTGAGAACGAAGCGGCCCTGCTGAAAGGATATGGGAAAATGGAGAGAAAAAGCCCTGTGTGTTCATGTTCCCAGTTCCAGGCATCCCCAAGGCCAGCGATTTGACCACATGTGCCGATACATTTCCCTTTGCTAAGGGTGCTACAGTTCACACTGGCTTTCTGTCACTCGCAACCCAGGGGTCCTGATAGCACAGAATTCAAACCTGGGTGCACATGAATTTAAGACCTGTGCTCTTATTCACTTGCTACAGTCGTCCCTCGTTTATCGCGGTTAACCCATTCCAGACACTAGCGGTTGCACCTGGTGTTGAAGGATTCCTGGGGTGCTCGAATACAGAGGCCTACAGTCCATACGTACAGTAATTTTCATTTTAATTGTAATACAGGGGTGTATAATTGACTCAGACAACCGAGCGCGTGCTGTATCAATTTCACTGTCTTGATGAACTTTTTAATGACTATATTTGAAAAAACCGCGATAGAGTGAAGCTGCGAAAGTCGAAGAGTGAAGTGGCGAGGGACTACTGTATACTGTTTCTGTTTATTAGAATAAGCTATGCAGCCTATTAGGAGATCAAGTTAGAGAGGGATCAGCGCAGCCTTGAACAGTACACGAAGTACAGAACGGAAGGAAGGAAGCCTCCAAGCATGAATGGGTGGATTTAACCAGGCAGAACAGCAGCAGAGAGCAGGGTCAGGGGCCTGGCAGCACTGCATGGAGTTGGGAAGCCTGGCTTACGGAGGAAGAGAAGGGAGGGGCTGGCCTTCTGATGGGGCAGCCATTCAGGACTAACTGCAAGGACTGCTCAAGGATCTGAGCCTCGGGACTAGCACAGAGGCCCCACCCTGTCCCTTCCCCTTAGTGACCATCAGGGCAAGGCCTTAAAAAGCAGACAGTGGTAACTGCCAGCCCTGAAGAACTTGGATCTCTGACTACAGGAGGCAGATCATGGACAGTGAAGTCATTCTCTCCCCCATCTCCTCTCCTGGGGATGAACAACCTTAAGCTTGTCCCAAGTTGTTGACTCCACAGACCTCACATATTGACCCCCACTCTGCCCCCCGGCCCGCTCCTGCTAGCTCTGGGTCTCCCTCATCAGAAACTGCATTGCTGAGAGCACAATGGCAGGTAACCTGAATCAAGTCCAGCCTTTCCTTCCCCGCCTCTACAAGTTTACCATATGGGGACACTGATACCACAACAGTTGGGGAGCGCATCCCACACAGCTGAAATATTCAAAGCAGTCAGCAGCATCTGCAAGACTGCCTGGCAGAAAAGGAGGGGGTCCTACCCATGGTGGAATCAAGCAGGGACCGTGAGCAGGGACTATAGACAGATTTGGGATTTGGGTTCTATATAAAGAATGGTGACATATCTGACATGATGCAAAACTGGAACAAACAATGAGGAAATAAAGGCAAATAATAAGAGGGAAAAAAGAAGGTAATTAGAAACTCCAGGAAAAACAAAAGCAATATAAAACAGCAAATGTAACTGTTAAAGATTACTCTGCTCTGTAGGGAACACTGTTTACATGCCTTAACTAATGTAAAATTACATATTGGTTGTCAAAGTTTAGAATAACTCCACAGATAAAACACTAAAGACAATATGGTTAAAAACAGCAGGTAATTTTGTCAACCTTGATAACATGAAAATAAAACTATATATGACAGGAGTTGGAGGAAAGGATAAAGACAGCTAAAGGTTAGAGTAAGTAGGGGACTAATATTCTCTTTTTAAAAAGTAATCAAGCCTGGCCAGTTGGCTCAGTGGATTGAGCGTCGACCCATGGATTGAGAGATCCTGGTTCAATTCCCAGTTGGGGCACATGCCTGGGTTGCTGGCTCGATCCCCAGTGAGGGGCATGGAGGAGGCAGTCAATCGGATCACTCTCACATCAATGTTTCTGTATCTCTCTCCCTTCCTCTCTCTCTCTAGAAATCAATAAAAACATTAAAAAAAGAAAAAGTAATCAAGGGTGCCCCAGCCAGTGTGGCCCAGTGTGGCTCAGTGGATTGAGCATCCTCCCATGGACTGAGAGAGGTCCCAGTTCGATTCCTAGTCAGGGCATATGCCCGGGTTGCCACCTTGACCCCCAGTAGGGGGCATGCAGGAGGCAGCCCATCAATGTTTCTTTATCACATGGATGTTTCTATCACTGTCTCCCTTCCTCTCTAAATAATCAATAAAAAACATCTATAAAAAAAGTAATCAAGGGTTACTGCCTACAGTTGAACAGAAAAACAAAATAATGGTATACGCAATTCCCTAAGGCTACCAAGGTAACAAAAACTAAAAATAGTGATAAAAACACCATCTTGTGAAGAAGATGAGGGAGGTATAAGTGAACCAAATCATAATAGGAAGTCAGTTGGTAAACATTAACTTAGAAGGTAAAGTTGATAAATAGAGAAATAGCAGCTGACCATAGCTTTTTAAGAGTATGGACTTCGGGCCCTGGCTGGTTTGGCTCAGCTGTTAGAGCGTCGACCTGCGGTCCAGAGAGTCCTGGGTTCGGTTCCTGCTAAGGGCACGTACCTCGGTTGCAGTTTGTCCCCGGCCCTGGTTGGTCATGTAGGTGGCAGCCACTCGATGTGTCCCTTTGACGTCGATATTTCTCTCTCTGTTCCTCTCTCTCTCTCTCCTGCTCTATCTGAACAAAAAATGGAAAAATGTCCTCGAGTGAGGATAAAAAAAAAAAAGAGTATGGACTTTGGTGCTGGCCGGTTTGGCTCAGTGGTTAGAGCGTCGGCCCGCGGACCAGAGTCCTGGGTTCGGTTCCTGCTAAGGGCATGTACCTCAGTTGCAATTTGTCCTCGCACAGGTTGGGGTCTTGTGGGTGGCAACCAGTTGATGTGTCTCTCTCACGTCAATGTTTCTCTCTCTCTCTTCCCTCCTCTCTCCCTCTTGTTCTACTGAAGATAGATGCAAAAGTGTCCTCATATGAGGATAAAAAAAAAGAGTATGGACTTAGGAGACCACCTAGGTCACATCCCAGGTCTGCCACTAATCAGATCTTTAGCAAGTTACTTACCTTTGGGACCTTAATGTTCTCATCTGTAAAATAGAGGATAACATTAGATCCTACATCAAGAGTTATGGTTGAATTAGTATGTGCAAAAAGTTAGAGCAAGGCCTGGTCCACAGAAACTGCTATGTAGTTTGTTATTATTACTTAGAAACAGCTAAAAGAAGCTAACATGGTTGTCTCTGGTGCCAGAAAGAGGTAGAACAGGGGACCATTGCTTTTTATTCTAAGCCCTCTGTGCTATTTTTTTTTTTTTTTTTTTTAAATCCTCACTGGCGGATATTTTTCCATTGATTTTCAGATAGAGTGGGTGGGAGGGAGGGAGAGAGAGAAAAATCTATGTGAGAGAAACACATCGATTGGCTGCCTCCTGCACAACCCCAACCAGGGCTGGGCATCAAACTGCAACCAAGGTACATACATACCCTCAACTGGAACCGAACCCGAGACTCTTCAGTCCACGAGTCCATGGGATGATGCTCCAATTGCTGAGCCAAACCGGCCAGGGCCCTCTGTGCTATTTTTATTTAATCATGAACACGTATTACTTTAATTACAATAAAAATGTCAACAGAGCAGAAATGGGCTACCTTGAAAGGTAATGAGCATCTTGCCATTAAAGGTGTTTAAGGATGCAGCAGAGGGCCCTGGCTGGTCTGGCTCAGTGGTTGGAGCATCGGACTGCGGACCAGAGTTCTGGGTTCGGTTCCCGCTAGGGGTACGTACCAAAAAAAAAAAAGGATGCAGCAGAGGAAATCCAAGCATCCTAAGTAATTAGGATGATTCTACCTACTGTCAAGAGCAGAAACGATACTGAGAATGGGCCCAGAGGCACCCAGTGAGGATAACAGAGACACCCTGAGAGAGAGCCAGCCCTCACCCCATCTCCAGGGAGCATCCTAACTGATGGGAAGCTTGTGCAGGAGTAGAGGGACATCACTCCTTATTAGGCAAAGTGGAGTAGTAAGAGCAGGAACCAGAAGTCAGAAGCCCTGGGTTTAGGGCCTGGTTCTTTCCAGCAAATGATGTAACATCCCTGGGCCTCAGTTTCCCTATATGCAAAATACAAACAGACTAAGATGCTGCAAATGGAAGCCCCACTATTGAGATGAAGTGGTGAGCATATCTGATACCCACAGACTGTTCTAATCGGGTTAGCACACAGTTCAGGGCAGTCAAACTCCCAATTTGAAAGGGATGCTGATCAGAGATGTTCCTCAGTAGAAAGCCTCTCAGACTTGTCTCCTCATCCAAAATCATACCACGAACTTCCTAGAATCTATTTTGAACACACTAGTGCTCAAGAACCTTCTATGGCTCTCCTGC